AAAAATTTGGATTCAAAAGTCTTGTATACATTGCGTAAAAGGGGAAGATTAAATCTTTGAATGAAATTTGAGAGAAAATTTGCACAAAAAAGCGTTAATTTGCAAAGTCTTTAAACAAATAATTACCAGATTTTAATGAAATTTTCAAAAGTTATTCGGCAATGAATTAAATTAGTTAAATTTTTATTTTATTTTAGAAAAACTTTGTAGAATTGATTTTTAAGGTGAGTATTCTCAAGTTGATTTAGGAAATTTCATGCAAAAGTTATTCAGACTGGGGAAAACATTCTTTATAAAAAAAACGCGACAAAGGATTTAAAACCTTTTTCAAAAACGACTATTTCAGAGAATCTTCCCGAAGTCGTATTTTAAACATTTTATAAAAACTATTTTTAATAAGAAAGATTAAAATTGTATGAGAAAAAATAATTAGAATATTGGAAATTTGTAAAAATTAATATAGAAATTATTTTATTAAAAATTAGCTTAAATGCTGCACTCCGTGCGAGATTTTTTAAGCTAACTGCAGTTAAAACTAAAGGGAGACCTTTACCAGATTAGAAAAAAGCAATGATAATTTTGAAGAAGTAACTTTGAATTCCTCAGTTCACTTCATGGAACTTCAAAACCTTACTTTAACTCCGATTCGGATTTAAGTCCAATTCCGATCAAAGCACCGATTTGGGCCGAAAATTGAGCTCTTCAAATCACAAACTCTGTGGAAATTCAAAACCTTACTTTAACTCCGATGGAGTCTAACTCCAGCCAAATGATCGATTTTGGCCGTAAGTTCGATTTCGGCCGAAATTCCAATTCAGGCCGAAAATTAAGTTTTTCAAATCACAAGCTTCGTGAAACTTCAAATCAGAAAATCTGTGGAACTTCAAAACCTCACATCACATAACCTCTAGCATTAAGTGCCATTTTGAAGAAATAAAATTGATTTCCTCAATTCAAAATGTTTTGGAGATGTTTTAAACTGAATTTAAAGCAAAAAATTTAAATTCACAAAGTTTTTGTGTTACTTTAAACTCAATATAAACTTTTAAAAAACTAAATCACTAATTTTTTTTAGTTATTTTTAAATTTGAATTATCCGGGCACAAATCGCAATGCTGGATATTCAAGCACCAGATGAAGGGAGGGCAGATTTCCAATCCCGGGATCATCCTGATTCTAAATAGATATAATGTAGAGCAAATGTGCCCTGAATTAGAGGTGTTTCAGATACACAGAATGTTCAGCCATTTATTTATTTAAAATGTATTAAAATTGAAGAAGAAGAAGTGGAAGAAGATTTTTTTCTAAATTTGATATACGAATAACTTTTCTAAACATAAGTTTTTATCATTGGAATGTTTTTTTCTAAACCTGTGAGAGTTTATCTCATATTTGGAACGCCAGTTTTTGAACTCTGAAAATTTTGTCCAAAGAACCCTGAGTACTAGCTTCACCCAATGTAAGTCGACTCTTTTACATTTTCTTTGACTTTCAACCTTCGACATTTTGATATATGAACTTTTCGAAGTAAATTTCTTTTGTTGCTAAAAGATTGATTTATATGAACTATTGTTAAAATGTGATGTGATACTGGTACCTAAGAGAGTTAATCAAACAGAAAAGGAAAAAAAGAAAAAAGGAAGAGGAAAGAGATTACTGACTGGATGATAATTGTTGAAATTTGCAAGAAAGAGAATTGAAAGTTTGAGAAGAAAATTAATAACGAAATGCGTTGAAAATAATAAAATGAAATCCCGAACAGTTCCAAGGAGAATCGAACCAAAATTTTACTAGACGGAATTCAGTAAGATTGAGCAAAACCAGAATTACCTTTCCTTCCCTACTTCCCGTCGATAAGAAAGAAACAATTAATTTATCCTTTAAGATGTCGAATAGAAAAAATATGTTGTCGATAAAGAAACTTGTGATCACCGAAATAACATTTAAGATTGTTCTGGACAAAGAGCTAGGAAAACATCTGTTTTGAATCGGACACCCAGAAGAAATATATCCCTACAAAAATAGTAATTAACCCGGATTTGTTCATTTTAATTCGTCAAAAATTTTATAGCCGGCAATAATTCGGATGGTGAGAGATGAGACGTGAAGGGAGTTAAAATTAAGGGGAGGCTTCATTACTGTGACCAGCCTCAAAATGGGTCTGAACAACGCCTAAATTTGGAAAATCACACGAGTAAACATATTTTGAAAATATGGAATTTTAGAAAAAGGTCGATACTAAGAGTGAAAGATATCCGAACTCAAGCCCTAGTCAACCTCACCCTGCCGAACTCAGGACTCCATATAAGCTGGATGTTTGCACAACTCGAATAGTCCCCATATTATTGCTACTGGAATCCACATCGTTCGCCGAGACCTCCTGACCAAAGCCTTGTGCCGGCTCTGAAGACCACAACTTATAAATTTAAATTATTAACGTAAGCTGCAAACTACAAAAAGGGGATCACAGTGTTATTTAAATATAACAATAAGTGGGAAGGGTTAAAACCACTATATACAACATCTCATATATAAACTAAATCGTTGTTACATTTTTAATCCGAGTTGATTTTTTATTCCAAAGAATTCTTTTTTGCGAGGATCTCGCCGTCTACATGTCTTTTGCTCCAGTTTACTTCACCATCAATGATCATCTCACCCTCTGAGATCAAAAGCACAACGTGACAGCGGAGTGAATGGTCGTGAGCCAGGCTAGATCGAGTTGAATCGTGCTCATCAACATGATATCAGCGACACATCAGCAACGCATTAACGAGTGATGAGTCAGTTAGATGATAACCGCATTGTTTTGAATTAAATGGAAGACCAACGTAGGGGGATGCGGGTTACATTATTGGTTGCCGTTGACTAGAATCGACCCAGGGCTACAGTTGGAGATACGCAAGGAAAAGCTTGTAAAAGCCTATATTGTACCGATGATACGACTATATACGGGTGCACCTCTAAAACTTTTGACGATTAAAGATTAGCAGTTGATCTCTCATCTGATCTAGCACTAACTTCACAGTGAGGTTAAAACTGGCTGGTTACATTCAATGCCTCGAAAATCAAACAAATTACATTCAATCATTGCCGATCGGACCACTAATTACCATCAGTCACGATAAACGGATGTCCCCGTGTCTAGCGAAATTATTGGGCCTTAAACTCACACCTGACCTCAAGGGGAAATTGTACATACATACATACATACATACATACATACATCGTAAAAGATGCAGGAAAAATGGTCGGCTCCCTCTATTGCTCCAGTAAGTACCCGAATCTACATGCTATCCTCTACATTTACAAGTGTCGTAGCATACCTACGGATGATAATTGGTATGTCCCCATTCACATAAATACAGTAGTAAATACTGTATGTTGGTCTGCAGATTCATTGTGGACTCACTTCTAGCAGTTGAGTACTTTTTCTACGCGCGGCTGGTGAATCTTATATGTGTTGTTCTTGTCCTAAGTATTATCGTTCATTACCAACCTTTGTATGATTATTCTATTCAGTAACCTTTTCTAGGTTACAACATTTTGGCGTCGAGGATTAGCCAAAATTACAGCAACAAGAGCCAGATCAAACCAAAAATGGAGGGATGTGGTGGGTCACTGCTTTATTGCTACTTCCAATGAAAGTGCTCGAATGAACTATATTTCTTGGTTCCACTAGGTCTATCCTTCACGGCTAGAAGCCTCCATGCCACTTACATTGTAGTAAACCACCCACATTCCTTCCGTATTCCATCAGTGAGAAGTAAGTTCCACCCGAACAGCGAGTAAGTTCTCTGTGGGACTGACTCGCAAGAGTATGTTTCCCCGATCACTAAAATCTTAACCTGATCAAGTCTAGGGTTAACCGTTATCATCCTAAGGATATTAGCACGTAAGTGAATGTAATGGATTCGATTGGAATTCGAACTCGGATCTCCAATTCCTCAATCTGAGTCGCTATCCATTAGCCCATCGTGCCTCCTTGAGTACATCAGGGTATGAATTTTGGGGACTTATAAACGTAATGTCTCAGTAACCATTTTTACCAGAGATCATATTGCAGTTTTGTTGTTATCATTGTTTTTCTCTAGAACTCTGTATTACTGGTTCCCATATTATATTCATTTCTATGCTTGGCCGGCTTAGGAGATTTTTGTGGCCTAGCATATGTGCTGATTCCTTAAGTTTTCGTATTTTCCAGTGATGTACTCTGTCCATTATTTCATTTTCATCTCACGGGGCGGGGGGGGGCATTGATATCCCTTTTCCCTCCATATGTGACCAGCCACGCCCGACCCTTCTATTCCACCTGATGCTTTAGAGTGTACCTGCAGTTTTATCTTCAGGGAACAGCCTGTTTCTCTTTTATATTTTTTTACTACAGCTGCATGGAATGGTGTACACATAGTCCTTAATCAAGTTCTCCTCTATGGTATCTCTTACTGAGAACAGATGTCTGCGATGTTATATGGAGCACAGTTCTTTTGCATTTTTCTATGTTTTTGTATTAAATTTTAAATTATCTTCGAATAACATTCATATTTTATTTTTGGATAAGTTTTTAAAAAAAGCTTAAATTTTGGAGTTGACAGATCTGTCAATATCAATGAATTAATCGATTTCATCGGGGGCGGTGAAATCCCACCCCGAGTATTCAATCCCTACGGCAGCACCTTCCTCATTGAAAGGAGATAGGATTGGTGAATACGGACACTGGCGTCACTGTCGTGTTTGCGGGGGCTAGACAGTTTTTATCCTTGGCCTGTATGTCCGTCATCCTATATTGTGTCACATACCACCACCATGGAATTTCAGTAAATAGCTGATCAAAGTGTAGTACCTTCTTTCTAAACTATGCATAAGCCTGGTCTCGGGGATTCCAACCCAGGCGGTTACTCCTTCCTCATGGTACTAAAGAGAAGTGTTTAATGAGTGACAACGCTTTTTGTCGTTGGCTTGTATGTCCTGCAACTCGAATTGTTTAAACCTACTTTATATTACACTTGATCACCGTGAGAAAGGGAGAGAGAGAGAGAGATAATATAACTAGATAAAGAGATAAAAAAGGGCGATTGTTACTATATATGTAACTCTGATATTGCATAAAGCAACGACGTACCAAGTCACGTCCAGTTACATCGATTATGTTGCCTTTTGTAATTGAATATCTGATATATTTCATGAATCATGTTCATGGAACTGTGACAAAAAGTGGATCGCTAAGGCGTAGCACTTTCAGTCTTACTGAACTACAGCATTCCCAATCCATGTTGTCATCTGATTAAACCTTTCTTCACTCAACCCTTTGTTTCCAGGGTTTTCCTTACAGTTTTACTAACCAGCAACTATGAACGTTATACAAACTTTATATCAAATGTAGCGAGGCCTCGGAACTCATGTTTGTAAAAATAATATTTCTGACATTGTAAGTAGTTTTGAACTAACATCGACTAGGGATTGGAAAAGAAGCTCGCAATATGGAGAATTAGAAATCGTGATAAAACAGTTGCTGTAATAACAACAGTCGCAGCAAAAGCAACAAATGCTACAAATATTGAAACACCAGACAAGGATGTTTGAAGAAATTTTGCAGAAACTAATACCTTAGTTTCATTCTCACCTGGTGAGTTCGCAAACTCTCTTGACAATTTGTTATATAACTCTGAAGACGTTGTTACATTTTTGTCGTATTATAGAAGGTACGAAGACATTTTTTAAAAAAATATTGCCAAAGAGGGCCAAATGAAAAAAAATGGTATGTTTACTGTTAAAGAAATTGTGCCCATCAGAGCAAAAAAAAATATATTGTATTTACATTTTACCTGAAAAACCAGAAAATGTTACGCTTGATGAAACTGTTAATTTTGCCTAAAATTTTCAATGAAGGAAACTTCCTATTTCATACACGTTGACAATGCTTAAATCTCACAAAAAATGGCTAAGATTTTGTTTCTTATGCTGGTAATGTCAATCGCGAATGCGAAAAATTTAAGCTGAACGAACTGTCTTTAGACATGTTTAAATGTTTATTTTTTGTGCGAGGGTTAACTTCGAGTAAAGTTCGTACGCGCATTTTAAGAAAACTTGAGCAAGACCCGAAATTAACCTTAAAGACAATGGTAGAAGAATGTGAAAGAATTCTAAATTTAAAACCCGATACTGTAAAAAGTGAAGAAAATGGTATTTTACAAGTGCAGGGAGTGCGACCAAAGAGCAAAAAATGGAGAAGAAGAAGAAAATGACTGCACCAAACCCGTGCTATAATTGCGGAGGACTTCATTTTAAAGCAAATGGTCCATTCCAAAATAAAAATAAAAAGTGGAAATCTGGTCCATAAACAAAGTCACTGCAAATCAAAACAAAGAAAAATGCAAGACATTTTAATAAAGTAAAAGTTGTATTGACAACTCAAAATCTTATTGAGGCCCAGAACAGCAAATTTATGAATGTTAAGATGAATAACGTTGAAGTAAAACTTCAATTGGACAAAGGCAGCGACATTACGATAATTAATGAAAAAACTGGAAAAATATTGGTGAACCTAAATTAACAAAAACCAAAAAAGTTTCACGTGACGTCTCAGGAAAAAATGTTTTCGAAGCGAAATTACATGTACTGTCATGTGTACCGGTTAAAAAATGAATGCATTCGTATTAAAAATAATACGTTGAACTTATTGGTCGCGGGTTGAAAGGAACTGTTCTATTTGTTGGGTCTGCTTGTAAATTCGTTCTGTAAGAAAGTTCATTGTTCCTCTCTAAAACAAGAATGGTGACTGAATGTTTTTTAAAAGAGTTAAAAATGAATTTTCCTATAGTGTTCTCCTAATGTCTTGGAAAAGCGAAAGCAATTTTTTACCTAAAGGAAATTGTAGTTCCTGTTTTTAAACTTAAACGTAGTGTGCCTTTTGCAGTTGTGGAATCCATTAGTAAAAACCTTGAGAGATTAAAAACTCTAGAAGTTATTTCGCCCACAAATTATTCTGAGTTGGTGGTTCCAAAAGTGTTTGCAAAATAAATAAATAAATAATAATATTCGTGTATGCACAGATTTGTCTACAGGGTTAAATGAGTGTGACTACCTGATACATATCTACTACCATCCCCAGAATAAACTTTTGCCAAATTCAATGGTGGAAGATTTGTTTTCAAAAATTGACCTGTCAGACACATACTTACAATTTGAAGTTCATGAGAAATATAGAAAATTGTTAACAATTAATACACACCAGGGTTTATACTGTTTTAATAGGCTACTGCTCAGGGTCAAAGTGACGCCTAGCGTTTTCCAGCAAGTAATGGATACAATGCTAGCAGGTTTATATTTTGCCATTACATATTTGAACGGTGTACTCATAAAAAGCAGAACAAACACAACAAGTATTCTAGAGAATAGAAGTTCAAACTCAGTGAGGAGAAATGCCATTTTTTTTTCAGGATCAATTTAAATTACTTGGGATAAATAATTGGGAGTAGGCCGGATACATCAAGGATGAGTACTATTAAAAAATATGTCTGTCCAGACAAATGTTGCTGTAGTAAAAACAGAACCAGTGAATAAACTTATACCAAAGCTTTATTGTATTTTACTCTGACTACTCGTCTACTGATGGATATTATAGGGTGTTTTATACCTCCTAGATCTTAAGGGGGAGGTAACTGATGATTTATCAGTATAGTTGCTACTTTACAATCATTAAAAAAATGAATTTTTCGATATTTTAAACTTAAAGTAAATAATATTTGTTTCGGATCAGAGTCATTATACTTTAAATCAGCTAATATTCCTTAAATAAAGATTCACAAAATTGTATTTTATTTTAGGAAGATTTTTTTAATAAAGAGAATTACATTGCGATGAAAGACGACTAAAAAGAGACGATAATCAGCCATTTTAGAAAAATAAATAATTCTTTCCGGTCAATTTAAACTAATTTTAGAAATACAGCAAAATATTTTGCTTATTGGAAATATTACATTTAATATATTAACTTGAAATTAAAAATAAATAAAAGCTTTAAGAAAGATTTTTCATTTTTTTTAAATTCATTTTAAATCTCTTTTGCTTTTTTTTGTTTTGTTTTTTTAAGGTACCTATTTAAATGAAATTCAAATCTAATCGGCAGTTATTTTAGAACCAATAAAAAAAAGCTTCTTTCGAAGTAAAAGCTTCTAATTCTGACACGAAATGATTCAGCATAGAGGATTACCTAAACCTAATCCTGCGACTGATTATATTTCTTGTTCCTCTAAGAAATATTGAATCAACTTCTTTTTATCTTTAAAGATGAAAGTTTTGTATCATTTGTTAAGAATAATTATATTCAACTGTTATTAAAACCCCAACTATCGTCTTCTTATTCTTTACTAACGCGTTCTTTGAATTTTATTTCAACCTTTTGTTTTCCCTCAATTATTAGAAAGCTACATTTGTGTTGGTCGAGCACAATTTATCTGGAGTTATAATTATGTGCTTGTCAATTCTGCCACATAACCAATTGATTCAGGATGTGGTTCTTAGACCGGTATCTTTCGCTTGAACGTTTCATTTCTTCGCATGCACTTGTAAATATTTTCTTGCTTTTCATACTGACTCGTCTAGAAGGGAGATACATTGATCTACTTTCTAAGTACAGGGTGATACATCCCATACATTATATCGTCTATTGATGTAAGAATAACTAATGTGTAGTGAATGCGAAATAATAACTCCCTTCACCCATTCCCGTCAAAGGACTGAGGAAAAAGAAGGAAAGGAAATTTCTTTGGACCAATAAAACCGTTGCCTTCACAGAAACTGATCGGTGAGCTGAGAAGAAAGAGGAAAGGAATTCGCGAGCCTATGTTAAATTAGATTTGAACTAATAAAAATCTTACCTTCGCAGAAACTAGCCAGTTAGCCAAGAAAACAAAAAGAAAAAAGCAGCGAGCCTACGTGAAATTCTGTCTGATATAAAATGAAGAGAAAAATTAAATTAATATGAGAAGAGTGTATGAAGTCATGTGAACGATTCCGTTTCCGTTCCTTGCGACCAGCGTTGAAGTTCTCGCCAATGTAAAATTATTTGCCAATTATATTATAGGTTTCTAACTAAACATCCAGCAATTCAAATAATTTTCTCTCAAAAATCCAAGAAAACTAGATATTTCAAACTATTTCTCTTCGTCTAGTTTTAAACATATGCAACCGTTTTTCTCATCTGTAAGCAACGAACTCTCTTACTTTTGTTTTAAACATTTTTGAATATTATTTTGTGTCAGATCATTTAATCTGTTGTATGAACATTTCATCTTCATGACAATAGGTTAAAAATACGAACTTTTCAATTTCTTATTTATTTTTCTGAAACGATCTACTGGCACAACTTCAAGCGCGCAAATTCATAAATAAATTCCTTATATTGTTTTATTAAAAATACTCACGTGTTTCCTCGTCATTGTCATCCTTTGTTAATCTCCTTTGGATGGGTAAATCAATTGTTCATTTTAACCTAAGTCCTACAGCACTATAAATGGACTCCATTTTGTCATTCTGAAACTACGCTTGTATGCATTTCATATTCTTAAAAGATTCACTTTTTCAATTCAAACATTTTTCTCTCCATATATTTCAATGGAGATTGTAAACATTTTACACCCGCAAAAAAACAAAAAACAAACCAAAAACAAAAAAACAAAAACAAAAAAACAAACAAAAAACAAACACTGGCAATTACAACGATAGACGATTTTATTTCACCTTTCGTCAAAATGTTTGGTCTGGGTTAAGTCTTAATATATAATAAAAGAAATAATCATTGACATTATTTTACAGATACAAAATCGAGAATCCTTTGAAAAGTTTCCATATTTTAACAATTCTTTTTCCAAATGTAGAATTCCATGTTTGGTCTCAATTCCACAATACAATTGTCAGTCTGCGAGATATTCTTTATATTAACACACAGGTTGGACATTTTTGCGAATTGCGTGCAATCGTGGTGGGATTGGCACACGTCTTCGCATTGATGTCCTTTGCAATTGGGCATTATTTCCACTCCACACAATTCATCAAAATAATAATCGTTTTTGCTGACCAGTGTCCAGACTTTAGCTGAAAATAAAGGGAAAATTATAAAAGCATTGAAAATAAGCTTTTTCAGTAACACACACAAACACATACACACACACACTGACGTGCAAGGGTTTCGGGTCAACTACATGAAATTATTATACCACTTTATTTTATTAAGAAGTTGAGATTGTTTAGCAAGAGGAACTTGAGGATTGGAAATATGTTGTTGTGTTTTCGTACGTACTGTGTTGCAGAAGATAAACCGCTTGGATCAACTTGAAGTTTAAAAAAGGTCATGTAAAATTAATAGACCAATGAAAGATCTGAGATGATAAAGTCATGATAATAAGCAAATTCCTTAGGAATTGTTTCATATTATTAATTAATATCATTATAAGTTGCCTTGGCAAGTCATTATAGTTGAACATTAACTTGCTTTTTTACATTAAAATAAAGGCTACAATTTTTGCTGGAGGTTGGGACTTTGGAAGATAAATCAACGCGAGATAGCCAAGTTGCTGGGAATGTCTAGAAACGTTGTTGAAACCATCAAAAAGACGTTTGCTTCTACTGGAAGTGTTTTATTTGCAAAGAAAACCGGAAAACCACAAAATTTAAACAAGAGAGATGAAAGAACAATTGTGAGTCTCACTAGACAACCCAAAACTAACAGACAAACAAACATCGGAATAGAAGATTACAGTGTCCAAAAGAAAATCTAAGATGCTGGAAAGTGGTAAAAGTAATTTTTCGCAATGAATGCAAAATAGAGTTCCATTCTAATGTAAGAGAATATGTAAAAGACCAGTGAAAAAAAGAAACAATGCAAGACACACCACAATGACGGAACGTTTGATGGTGGACACGTTTTGGTTTGGGGTTGCTACAAAAGCGGTCGTAGAAGGAAATTGCTAAGAGTTGATGGAAGCTTAAACAGATAAAACTGTATTAGTTTACTACGCTTCAATCTTCTGCCAGACTATGAAGAGGGAGAATTGTTTCAGGATGACGGTTCTCTTTGGCACACATCACATACAATAAAATGGTTTCTTATGGATGAAGATGTTCAACTTTTGGAAGAGTGGCCAGCATAAAGACCTGAATTAAATATAATTGATCCATTGTGGTGGGAACTGAAAAAATAAGTGCGTCCAGCCTGGAATGTTTTTTAATTTGTTCACGGAGTCGGCCTGATTCCATAATGGTATATGTTGTAAAGTTGAAAATACGGACAGTTTTATTTTGAAACACTAATTTGAGAACAGTATTTTTTTCATTTGAACATGAGCTATTGAAAGTTAGAGAGTTGTGTCCCTTTAATTGTTTTTATCAGTAGAAGCCAAGATGGCGGAATCCGAAAACAATCGCAATAAAAACTTGGGATACACTGACATTCGCATTTATTATGTAGATTGAGCACTTTATTTTTAAAATTTTACTTGAACGCATTAGCCTCCAGTAATTTAGCGGCCCACATGTTTTGTTATGCTTTGTTACCCGCACACACACAGGCATACATACACATATAAATTAGGGTATAAAATAATTTTTACATATTATTTATTTAAGTGACATGCAGAATCACAATAAAGTTATTATAAAAATATCAAAATGAAATTTAGATGAGAATTCGGCTGAATGGTAAATATATGACAGTTTGGAAAAATATATTTTGACATTTTTCGCCAATCAAAGATGCGCTTTGATTGATGAAACATGTCAAAATCAGAAAAATGGATTCTATTATTAGATGCTTCTTTAAGATTTAAGCATCTTTCAACCGAGACATTAGTGTTATGTGATTTTATATCTCGACTGGCCATGAATCTGCCAGTCATAGTTATTTACATTAGTTTTTCAACAAGGTTGCCTGAATTTTTTTGTATATGATGAGTTCATTGTTCCAAGGATACGGGTTAAAATTTTTATTATGGTTTTCGCTAGTTTGTGGGGACACCGTCAATACCTGAAATAATGGAGAGCATTGTAGTCTATATTCTCAACGGAGGCGATATCGTCCCCCGGGGGAGGGCGATTTTTTCTCTGAGGCGGGTGACAAGTTTTCACAAACAAGTTCTTTTCTTTAATAGTTGAAGCATTCGTAAATAAGAATTACGAGTACATTAATAAACGTTTCTAAATTTATGCTTTCTCATCTATTTACGTCTTTAACGCTTTATGGACGAAATAAATTATTTTTAATGATAGCTCATCATACTGCGTCCAACAGAAATACTTTTTTTGTAAAACATTTACACATCTCTAAATGTTTCAACTGAACTAATGATTTTGAAATATTTCGCTTGGTATCTGGTAACAAGCATCGTCTGCTATTACTCACTGACCTGTGCATTGCACTGCAGTGTTCGCTCAGTAATCATGAGAAGTGGATGAAGCCCAATTTTTATGTTGGTAGTCACATTGATAACGTTAATAATTAGATCAAATGTTAGTGACAAGAAGTTTGAGTTGAAAATAATGTTTCCGTGTGATATTTTTCAAGGGGAGACAATTCGGCATGAGAACAATCCGCTGCCAGGGCAACTTTACTTTTTTGAATTTTGAAATTTGTATTTTTGCGATTTTAACAGGATTAAATTAATAAATTATTTTAATTTTTATAGAAAAAAATCAAGCAAAATTATGAAACTAATTTTTTTACTCTTTTGATTTATATAAATTTTTAAAATTAAAAAAGTATTTATAATCATTTTATTTATATTGATATTAAAGATTAAAACAATTAAATTTAAATTTAATCATTATTTGTATTAATGTTAAAAATAAAAATATATAATCATTATATTTATATTGATTTTAAGAAATTGAAAAAAGTAATTAATCATTTTATTTATATTTATTTTAAAATTAAAAAATTGAAAAAAGTTAAGTTTTCCTGACGACGAGTTGTCCCACTGCTCGGTTGTCATAGTGTCTCTATGTTTAGCCATTTTTTTTTAATCATGAGTACAAAAAAGAAATGAAGAGAGTATATAGAAGAGTATTTGGCTTATGGCTTTGTAGAAAGCCTGTTTGATCAAAAGGCAACCTATGTGCCTTATTTACAACAGCTCATTTTCTAATGAAGTGATGAAACCGTCAAGGTTTTTAGCGCATTTAAAAAGAAAACATCTTAACAAAGATTCTTAGTCTTTGGTTGTTTTAAAAATTTAAAGAAAAACTTTAACCAACGAAATATTCATACATCTTATTTGAAAAAATTTTTTTTTTCAAATGAAAAAAATTGCATCTTATGAGATAGCACAAGTAACTGCAAAAAGTGGAAAGGCACATACAATTGCTGAAAATGTTATTAAACTTTTCTTTGAAATTCTCATGAAAACTGCAGCAAGATTTGGTAAACATCTTAAAAGCATTGCCACTGGGCAATGATTCACTCCTGAGAAGAATTCATGAAATCTCAGTAGATGTGGAAAGCCGACTAGTTGAAAAATTAAAAAGCATTAAATTCTCAATTCAGATTGACAAATCTACAGTAAACAATAAAGTTATTCTTATGGCATATGTTCGTTATATGAATAATTAATGTAAAGATTTGTTTTTCGTGAAACTTTTAGAAATTGATACCACTGACTTATCCGTTTTTGAAGCTGCAAAATCTTGATTTGTCGAAAATCAAGTTCCCTTTGAAAACTTAGTATCCTGCGCAACGGATGGAACTCCAACCATGTATGGTAATAAATCCTTTGGGATTTATTTTACACTAGCAGTAGAGCCCGGCGTTGCCCGGAGATATAACAGTAAGAGATAGATCAAGTATCCACCATCAAAAAGACTGAAAAATAAAATTGACAAAGATTATTGTTTAAGGTTGACGGACACTCATGTCTGAATTAGTTGTTTTTTTTTTTTTTTACGAATTGGTCAAACCCAAACTCAAACAAAAACATTGTTTTCAATCGTTATGAGTCTCCCAATTGAATAGAATTTTATTATAAATAATTGTCTTGTAAATGGAATTTTTAAAGCATTCTGAATGTTAAAAATAAAGAAAAAAGTGTGCAAGAGAATAAGAAACACTACCTGCCAAAAAAAAAAAGGGAAGTTTTGTTTTATCGGCTGAAAAATATAGGAAATCCGCTCCCATATTTAAAGGAACCCACACACACAAACAACCCCATGTGAGTTGTCCCCCTTCCATTTTCACGATGTCTCTTAATCGTGTTTTCAAAATGATTTTGTGCAAAAACAATTATATTTTTCCCATTTTTAGCGCTGTTAGAACCACCACAAGGTAATTTTATGTAGTCCTGTGAAGTTTTGTTGAAATCGGTTGAAAAATGTAGGAAATTCGATCCAATATATAAACGTTACAGACACATACACACAATCTGCGTTTTATAATAAGTAAGATTTAAAATATACAACTCCTTCTATTCATGCTGTGCTTTGCTTGGCACATCGTCATCATTTAGTTGCCAAAAATATTAGCTTTGATCTTCATGAGTCATTGACAAGAGTTATTAAAACAGTAAATAAAATAAAATCTCACTGCAAATATGACAGGTTTTTTCGAAAGTTTTGTGTTGAGATCGAAGAACAGCATATGAGACTTATTATCAATACGAAAGTACATTGGCTTTCGAAAGGAAATTGCCTGGCCAGCTTTGTAAATCTATTTGGTGCAGTAGTTAATTTCTTGGAAAATGTGAGTGAGAAAAATTTGGAAGAGGAAATCGTGCATCACGTGACATTTACTATTTAACATGGATTATTCGAAAGTTCAATGAAGTTTCACATTGCTAGATTGCAGACGTGTTCTGAAAGACTTTTTCTGAAAGATTAGACTTATTTTGAGTTAATATACAGAATAAGAATTTCAATAACATGTCCGAGTTAACAGAAATTCGTGAACCCCTCTCAGAACAAAGAAAGTGAAAATTGAAAGAACGAAGCAGCCGATTATCAGAATTATTTTCGTTAGAGGTTCATACGTGGATGATGGATCACTTCGGTTGTGACATAGAAGCTGTCAGTGAAAATATGCAGGAAGAACTTATTGAATTGAAATAATGATGAACGCGATTACAAATTTGAAAGCGGCGGGATAACAGAATTATGGCCGACAAACACAACGAAACAGCTGTATCCGAGTGTGTGGTCTGAAATGGCTAAAATACTGCTATGCTTTCCAACCTCTTATTTGGTTGAATGTGAATTCAGGAAAATCAACAAAATCTTTACCAAAGAAAGAAATAAAATATAATATATGTATTCGAGGAGACATAAAACTAGAACTTACAAATTTCTAACCAAATATTAAATTCTAGTAACAAAGAATCAACGGCAAGGATCACATTAAAAAGTAATGTAAATAAAATATTTAATTTATATTTTTACAAATAGGCATGGCCGATTACCTCAGAAAATAGTGAAAAAGGAGCAATATGATGAAACAGGTTAAAAACCCATGGGGTCTATGCTATGATTTGGTTTCATTTTTAATTATTAATTTGCTAATCGCTTTATTATTTTTTTTTGTGTTTCAGTAATTGTTTTCTGGTCATTTATTTATGAAAAAATAAAGGAACAGAAAATAATTACTGAAATACAAAAATCTGGGAAAATGGGCGCTTTATACTCCTTCGGCAAGTTGCAAATTTTACAAGGGTTGTTGACAAAGGTACATACCATGAACACATCAACCAAACTCACTGAGGAAGGAAAATGCCGAGCCAACGAAGATTGAAACGCCGTCAAATCATAAAAACAAAACAAAAGACATCAGAAAATTTTTAAAGGTGTACCGAGATTTTAACTGGTGTATCTGCGTATCTGGTACCGATTCTGTTTGGATGATACTGGGTCACGGATGTTTGGGTTGGGAAGTTGCTTGCTTATGTCGACCAGCAATTGGTCAGATTCATGGGCGTGACGTTTTGGTTTGTCCGTTCGCTGAGCTTTATGTGCGTACATTACGATGGGATCAACGGTATATCGTCTTGGTTCTAATGCTCTTAGAGTTGTGTGCTGCTTGCCATACCGCTCACCGAGTAGTCGTTCTTCATCCATAGTCTTGACGAGGTGAGCGTAAATGGTGGCTGTCAATGTTTTAATTTTCTCGCTCATGAGCATAGCAATCATTGGAGAAAAGGTAGTGTCGGCAATCATTTCTGCATTCATGTTTATTTTGAGGTTCGTTTTGAAATCGACGATGGCTTCTTAAATTGTGTTTTCGAGTCAGCATGCGAAGCCTGTCAATTTATCATTGTCTTTGACAGTCACATGCTCGGCTGAAGTGCTGAAAATTCGTCATTTGGCAGCAGTGCATAGATGTAAGGTAGGCTTTTAGACGCTCGTATTTAGAGGTATCCTGTTGCCAGTCTTCCATCTATTAGAATATGCTTTCGTTAAGGAGTTGTTTGGCAATTTTGACAAATCAATCCTCCGTTCATGAGTAGTTGGCGAATTCTGGTTTGACTTGGATTATATATGCTGTGTTTTGATTCCTAATAAATCAGTTGGTGTTGTTTCCTGATTCAAATTTTCTCATATCTCGCATTGTGTCAAGTAGTGATTGCTGTCATATTACTAGTTCTTTAGTCTTTGGGATTATGGGTCTATGGGTCTAGAAACGGTAGATTTTAGGATGGACAACATTTCGCGTAAGTTTAATAGCAATTCGTCAATGATATGTGTGTAAAGTCTGTTTTGAGATTTAGAATTGCTGTTCGCTGTTAATTGATGAGTTTTTCAATTTTTGTGTGGGTAAGGCTAGTGTAATCCATTTTTAGCTCTCTTGCTGCACCCTGCACCAGTTGTTTTAAACCGCGTATGTCTGCACGAGAACAATCGAAACAACAAAATACCGCCGGTGAGATGGAAAGATATGTTAAACTAAATTTGTTCGTATTGCCGATATAGAGGATCAAGACAGCATGTCTATTTGTGGGTGTGGGAAGCGACCTGAAGGATGAGTGTGTCGATAGGGCCTATAGGCGGAACTTATGTCGGGTCTATTGACCAAGTCCGCTAGTGAATTCTATGGCTGTCTGCCTACCTATTCGCCTGCTTACTCCTGTGACTGTGTTAAGTGTCTCGGATTAGCCTTTTTATGCAGTCAGCGTGAATAAATGACTCAGCGTTTTTCGTTTTGTTTTGTTTTTGGCTCCACTTTTGGTTTAGCGGCAACGTTCATGATTGGACTCTTTTAAATTGTACTTTTGCGTGGAGAGATTTGTTTTGTGAGCCGGATGTGATGTTCGGAATCCCTGAGCAGTGATCGATTTTTTTATTTTTAGTTTTTCTTTCTTAGCATTCACATCCGGCCGACAGGTTTTGATGTTGAGTGAATTAGAAAGAGACATAAATTGATTGAACATATCTATCTATCTATCTATCTATCAATCTATCTATCTATCTACAATTACTTTTGTAACTGTCATTGTTCTTTTCCAATATACTTACCAGCCTTTGAACATATGAATCCATATAAACTTCCGCATTGCATGTCCCATAATTGAAAACTCCCTTTTATACGATACAACCGCGCGCATGTATCGTTGTGACTTGGTTCCGTGGGAGACCACCAACTTCGTGGACAGCAGCTTTGCCCATCTTCCCACTGGTATCCTGCAAATGTAAAACAAAAGTGTCACTAACCTATATCCCCATGGCACCAGTTTACACTAATGTTTCTTTTTTTTTTCTCAATCTCAAATAAAACTATAAACTATAATTTTGGAAAGTGAAAATATCACTGAAAATGTCATAAAATTCTCAGGTTTTCATCTGAAATAAAAAAAAAATAAAAATAGGAACTTTAATCAAAGGAGATATTCATTTAAACTGATTCCAGGAGATACTATTTACATTATTCGGACTATTGTCCTCATCTTTGTCGCCATATTTATTACAACGTTTCGGCCGTTGTACGCTCCGGCCTTCTTCAAGTGGTTAGAATGTCGAATTGAACCCTTTATTTCGCTCACTGGGGTAGACTATTCTAGTTCCACGTGCCATGTTTAATGGATGTTAGTTATCAGTTATCTCCTGTTTATTCCCCTCTCCAAGTTCTCCACTGCCTTAACCGGGTATTCAACTCACAGTCCTTGTCACTGGATCTAACCAACGCCTTTAATCACTGTGCCATGTGTCCTTGAGGATAACTGATAATTGACATTCATTAAACATGGCACTTGGAACCTGAACCGTCTACCCCAGTGAGCGAAATAAAGGGTTCAATTCGACATTCCAACCCCTTGAAAGGCCGGAGCGTACAACGGCCGAAACGTTGTAATAAATATGGCGACAAAGATAAGGACAATAGTCCGAATAATGTAAATAGTGTACATAATACCTAATCTCAGAAATATAGACAGACACTGATTCCAGGAGGCTATGGGTTAAGTACACCAATATTCATATGGGTCATGTAATATAATGTCACAAGATATGATTAGATTGATATCATATTTTTATTAAATGTTATTCAAAATGTGTTGTTCTCCTTCAATCATGAATTAGTAAATCAGATAAGACGAAGCAATAAGAAAGTCCACTGAGTTAGGTACATAGTCAAAAATGTAATGCTCACAATGTAGAGCAGTGGTATTCATCCGGTGTGCAGCAGCACACCGGTGTACCGGGAGAAGATTTGTTTTGACCCAGAATGATGATGATATTCGATCATTCGAAAAACAACCTTTCCACCAGTGATGATGATTGATAATAAGAATATTTCATCATCGTGAAAATAAAGATCAAATATTTCATCATTGTAAAATCTGAAACTTCATCATTATAAAAACGACCCTCCCACCACAAGCGAGGTCAGTAGAGTCGAGTCGAGCAGCAGTAGTAAAATGGAACAACACAGAAGTATCGCCATCGCTCCGTAAAAATCTCAACTTAATGGTCTCAAATGCTACCTTTAACAACGTAACAAGCAAAACAAGTAGGCAGAAACTTTTAAAGAAACTCGAGACAATAACACTGAGACAATTTAACACACAAACCAATATTGTTATTGACATCACGAAAAGAAAAATACACATTATTAATTTCAATGTGTTTCATTGATGTTATTGTTGTAAGTTTTATTCATTTTATTTTCAGTATAAAGAAATCCTTTATTAACTACAAATACATGTAACAACAGAGCAATTTATATTACACATACCCAACATCTAGCCCAGTTACAGATCGTAGAAGTGCCGCGAAAATTTTTAAATGTTATTAATTAAATATGTTAGAAGGAAGTTCAAAATTATAGTACTTTGGACTTCTTCCTAAAATAATTTAATTGATGACATTTAAAAATGTACATATCAAAATTAAAACCCTTTTAAATTGGTTATACGAATAGATCATTCTCAATAAATTAATGCATACATAATATGTAAAGTGGGTGAAGTGTGCGAAATGAGGTTGCACGACACGTCCATAGATGGCGCGATTTGACAAGGACTTACAGATGAACACCGATATATGTAGAACTCATCTAAAGATGATTTCAGGAATGACTCAACAATCCTTTATTGTGCATGTATTGTATTCTTCCCGAAGTAGTGAGATCATTTTGGTCATCATTATTTAATTGTGCCGCAGAAGTTTAACTATAGACTCAAATGTGCTGTGAGATATTAAAGGTTGAAAAACATTGATGTACAGCAGTATTTCTCAACCCTTTTTTTAAAAAAAAAACTCAGGGTGCACTTGTAGAATAACCAAAACTCTAGCACGAACTTTAAATTTTAATAAATTAAAATTATCCATGGACTTTGAAAATAGGAAAATAATAAAGAAGTTTCCTGGAATAAGCATTTATTTATTTTTAAGACATGACATTTTATATTTAAGTCTGCTTATGTGAAACCTATGCTTGATGTGTTTTGGCAAAGAACATTAAATTTAATGGCTGTCGTTTTCGGTTTAGCATTCCCAAAGAAAATTTGTGATACAATTCCATTTAAAGTAATTTATGAAGAATCTGCTATTACTTTTATAGAGACCGATAATAACTAATTTAAATTCCTTCAGTAAAGCGATAAGAAAAGGATTATCCATTCCTTCTTAAAGATTAAGGAATTTAGCTTCCAGTTTAAAATATCAAAGGACAAATACTTGAATTATATCTAGCTTTTTTAAAAATAAAGATTTTTTAAATATATAAAATTACACCTTTGTTAACTTGGGGTGCATTAGTGTCTATTATCAAGGAATCTGTTGGCAATTTGATGTAAGTCGAACCAAAATTGCAAGACTTAAACATAGCGAAGGAAAGAACGTGTTGATAAATTTAATGCTATGTCAACCTTTGTTGGGTTATTTAATTTGGAGTATAAGTTTCACGAAACAAAATCCCCAAAAAACAACAGATAGCTAGACCAAAGTTGGGTTTACACGCGTCGAAATAGTAGACATATATCTTGTTAATACCTGACATGCGTCTTATATTGTGTAAGATCGTCAATGAATAAAACAAGTGGAAAGAGGGATTGGCGACCAAAATGCGACAAGTGTCAGCCACAAGTGATAACGAAAGATTAAAACAAAGAATTAATGACCAGGACACAAGGCGTCATTAAGATGTGTGCAACACAAACATTATCAGATATAAAATCGACATTAAAGAATTTGAAATAAAAACTGCTAAGAAAGACGGAAATATTTTAAGAGAAGAAAGAAAAAATAAAAGGAGCCATCATTATTTCAAGATGAGGAGTAAAAAATCCATTGTTGTACAAATCGTCATTTTATTTTCAAGGATAGCTTCTTGTTTGAACTAGTACCCTTTTTTGTATAGTCAAAAATAGATCGCTTCCACTATTTTCAGTTTTTAAGACTAAATACGTGAAAACTAGTAAGATTTTGAAAAATGTTATTTTCTTGTTGACATTTCCTTTCTTTTAAGTGAGCATTATCAAAACCTAATTCGTTAACATGGTAAGCCTGCTACATTAAAACTCTGTGGTGTGTTTGAACAATTTATGATAAAGAGTTCCATAGTTTCTAGGATAGAAAAACTCCCACTCCTTATATCAATGAAAATGCCATTATCAAACAATAGTTTTGTTGCCTTGTTATGTTGTCATGTGTTTATCTAAAGATGAAAAATTCACATTTTATCTCTCGTTAAAGGAGAATGTCCGCGAGATTCTTCGTTCTGATAAAGTTTTCATACTTGTTGACTACAATGCTCGAGTTGGTAAGGATTTCTAAACATGGGTTGCAATTGAAGAACATGTAGTCGGAAAGACAAATTAATGTTACTTCAGCAAAGATGCCATGTGTTAAACAAGGACATAGCGAATAGCGTGTTCCAGGAAAAAGATAAATAGAAAACAACATGAATAAATTCAGGACCTAAGCAATGGCGAGTGGTTGATTTTGTTCTTATTTGTACGTGTGCAGTGTCCACTTCATGCTGGGAGCTGAATGCTGACCGTTGTCATATTCGGACAAAAGTAATAATACAATTTTTGCTGTTAATCCTGTATGGGGCTGCTCATTGTGGTGGGAATATTGTTTTCTTTTTGGGCCATATTTATTTTGACAGGGTTGTATTGTTTGTGTAATTTTTCTTTCGAATGACATTTTTAGTTATAACATTTTTCTATGGTTTGTAGATTCCGTTGTTTAGGTTGAAAGTTATGTCTACAAAATTTACTATTTTTTGATTTGATTTTATATCTGTTGTAAATCCTAGGATTTGGAAGGTTTTTATTATTTCTTGTTTTATTTTTTATATAGTTCCGCCGTTTCAGTTACTTAGGATTAATAGACTGTATAGATAACACAAACAAACAAACGGACAGACACTCTCTTAAAACTCCAGTCAGATGATAAGTTAAGATAATTTAATGGTTTATGATACCCACTTATCTTCATAGGTTCAAAGACATTTTGTCTTTCTTTTATTCTAACCCGAAGATGCCAAAGAAAGCATGCGCCATCCCGCGGAAATGCATCGTTTATAAATTTTCCACGTTGTCTCATCATCTTCACTTTTGTTTCGGATACTATTATACATCCTACAAATATACACACACACGCATACATACACACAAACACACACACATATATATATATATATATATATATATATATATATATATATATATATATATATATAATAAACAATATTTGAAAGACTGTGGAAAAATCTTTTGGATAGCTTTAATGCCATAGTCATGGTCATTGTGGAGAAAAAGCGTTTCTTATTTGGGTAAATAAAGGTCCCCTGTTCTTTCTTACTTACGATTTCATTCTGAGAGACAACAAAGATTCCACCGTTAAAGCATTTCGTCATTGGCTTTGTATCTTTAGACAGACCTCCATTCGATCCCATGAAGATTTGCAAAGAATTGGTAACCTGACGTGGGAGCAAACGTTTCCAGAATTTTTCTTGAAAAGTCTGTTTATACTTAACCGGAAGTTCTCGAAAAAGAGAAAGATGTGAACCTTTGGACACATCAAAAGTTTCATTTAAACTCTTTCTCCATGAGAATTCAAGTAAAAAAATAACCTTGTACTTAGTTGATGTGGAAAAACTTAACAGGAGAACGGAAATCTTTTACATATGAGCCCGTGTTTCACGAGAACCTCTTTATTCTCCCATCCATACACTGACCCAGGACCCATCCATTTATTATTGTTGTTTCTTGTAGAATATATCAAATCTCCATCGTTATAGATACACGTCAATCTGAGTTTTATTCGATGTCGAAGAGCCTTTCTTAATTTTTTCTGGTGTTTCGTTTTCTTGCTGCATGCATCGGTAAGATGTCACTAGTTGAAACCTCCTCTAAGGCAATAGGGCAGTTAACCAAATTATTGAGGATATTAGGCTTATGACCAAAGACCAATTGGTTAGGAGTAAAAACTGTAGACATATTAAGGTCTCGAAGAAAATTATTAAAACGGCTTTGCTTGATCATTCAAGATACGGGCTTTAAATAGTCGTGGATGAGGACTATGTGTCATACAAATGTCTTTTGCTGAGTTTGCTCTGAACATGCGCAATGTCATGTAATCCACTTCCTACTAAGGAAATGTCATTTGATTGGGATGAGAGCAGAAAAAAACACAGGTTCATTTCATAGATTTTGGAATCCTAAAAGCTTTATAATATGAATTTTTTCAAAAGTGAAGCTTATACTTACTTCCATCTTTAAAAGTTAACCACACCCAGTACTGTTCAGATGGTTTAAGGATGCTTCCAAGGAAATCCATTTCTTTTTGGTTTGAAACTGAAGTTAAAACAGCACCATTTTGTTGGCATATTTCTATGGCAGTCGAACGATTCACATGTTTAATATTTTTTTGGAAGCATTTCGATTCAAACCGAATCCAATTACTGGAAGAGGAAACTGAAAAGAATGATTGGAAAATGGAAATGACATTAAAAGAACGTCGATTAAATTAATAAAAATACCATTATTTTAAAATTGTCGTCTTTTTCACTAAATAATAACGAACTGATACTCCAAACTTTAAGGAAAATTACAGTAACAATTTGGTTTGAGAAGTTGTCTTGTTACTTGTCAGCTTTATTGTTACGGAAAACGTTGGTATTTAATTTTCTAATTCCATTTGTGTGTTTTTTTCCGCAAACATAAAATTATAGATGTTATTGTGAGATGAGGTAAAAAAACATAATCTTTCTACGTTAGTGTAAGAAAGTTTATTTGTGTTAACTTCCTTCCGTTAGTCTTCGTAGCAGTAAACACAAGCAAGGAGTTTTTGTTTCAAAATATGAAGAATAAAATTAAGTCTGTTTGAAAATTAGAAATAATAATCTTCACTATTTCAGAAATGAGATTCATGACTTAGAATATGACTGTTTAGAATTGTTGCAGAATTTGCAGGCTGGACAAAAATGGCAAAATGATGCTGTAATTTCACACCCTACCGCACCGGTTAGAACTTTAACGAACCGAACTGAGTGGCAGTTGGTTTGAATTCCGTGTGTGTCGGGGGTAGAATCCTGACAGTGATGGCTTATCTTTGTCTCTGTTTTGATATAAGACCGAATTTCGGTTCATTTGCGTGCCGTAGTTTCAGCAGTGAGACAAGCAATCATGTTGAGAGGATGGGAAGTTTGCATACCTAAAAATATCTTTTCCCTCTATCTCCGTCACCCACTTGCTTCTATCCAAGAAATGATGCTTGTTATATACACCCCACCCCTGAAATAAACGAATAGAAGAGTATAAACCTGAAGAAAATTATTTATCATTGATTGAGTCTGTTGATGCAGCGTTTGGGTCCTTACAGAGGAATTGCCGATAGACGATTAGCAACGCAGCAAAACATATGAAATGTCTGACTAAGATATATAAATCTTCTTGAAAGGTGACAAAATTACACGATTCTGCAAATCCATGCGAAATGATTTCAAACGTTGTTTTTTCTTCTTGCCAGACGTAAAAGTTAAATCCGTGTTGAAAGCAGCAGACAGGGTAACGTTTTAGCATCGTTTTGGTTTTAGAGTATGGCATTGACTTTTTCGAAGATAAAAAATGGCTGCCAGGACTTGCCTTTTGAAAGACGTGGGGTTTATTCTGATTAGTCTCATAATCTTTTTTTGATTTCTCATCTTTTTTTCTCTTGCTTCTTTTGATTGACTCCCGGTGATCTAAAGTAGACTGGACTTCAGTTCATTTTTTTTTTATTATCTATTTACTGTCCATGGAGGCTAACACTGACAGTTCGACATCCATACTATCATATTATTGCCCATCAGAAAACAAATTATAAAAATATTTTTGTGATAAACAATGAATTTATATATGTAATTTTATACATTAATCATGTTTTTTAAATTTCTTTAAAGCGCTCGAATCTTTTTAAGGCTTCCTTTATTGATGTGTCATAGGTTTTTAATTGTTCACCATGAAAAGATTTATGTCAAATCTAATTTCTTTTTTTAAAAATTTACATGCAAATTCGTTTTGAATGTAGATCTGTCGTTTTTAATTTATTTTTTGAAATATTATTGTTGTTGAATTTTTTAATCACCACATGAAATATATGACCAAGATATATATGTCTTCTTGGAAGGTAACAAACAACTTATGATCGTTACGCGAGCGTTTTTGATTGGAAGGAAAAGAGACAATCCCCGACGGTATTTGATCTCACATTTGGTATCATTTAAAAAGCGTTTGAATTCTTTAAATAAACCCAGATATGTTTAAATGGTATCTTGTACCAATGATTGAATCTGTTATACTTTCTAAATCTTCTCTCAAAAAATAACATTTTACATTAAGTGTATAAATAACAACAGCAATAAAAACCCATAAATTAACGAGATGAAATTAAAGACATCGCTCGTTATACTTGTAAAATTTATCATTATTTTAAGAACGCCTAGGTTAATATGGCCCTTTTATGTTTTGATTGACCAAAATGATTCACTGGTAGGTAAAAATATTATATTAATACTACGTTATGCTTTACACGAAAGCAATCCAAATTATTTAAGTTCGTGTTCGTTTTATGTTATCCAAAATATTTGGATGTTATTTTTGCTTTTAGGTCTTTTCATGAACTTATTAATTAGATAAAAGTTGTATTTCTATTTGGCACTTGGCCGTCAGTGGAAATAAATCGAGACAATTAGAGAGAAAGAAAAGGAAAAAACTCATTCAACTTACATTGTCGTTATGAAAGAGAAGAATTGACCCACAAAATGGAAAACAAAGTACAAGAGAATTTTTTCCGAAATTCTGAAAAAAAAGCTGAGACTACAGTTCACTTAGACAAAGTGACTAATTCGAAGAGAACGGTGGAAACTAGATGCAATCTTTAATTTAAATTTTTCTATAGTCATATTTTCAGAACTTTTGGAAAGCACACACATACACACACACACTCATATATATATATATATATATATATATATATATATATATGAAGAAAAATATACGGAAAAAACAAACAAAAATCCTAATATGCAATTATGAAGCAGGCATAATATCTAACTCACGCACGGTGAATACTAGACCTGGCTTCTTTAGTATTTCCCCTTTTCTAGCAAGATTAATGCTCGACAAACGTACATATAAGTTTTAGATTAAAATAAAATTCTTTTCATTTTTTCATTCAAAGTACTATATTTTAAGAATACGTTTTCACAACATCGCCCACGTGACGCCGACGTGATCATATTGAAACGGAACGCTGATCTTGAAATATTTCAGTTGTCTGTTTTGATTAGTCTTACTCTTATGTCCATCGTCTTTTCATGTTGAATTAAATATAGTCTAATGTTAATTATGTTTTATGAATATGTCTTGAAGATGGTCTACTAGAGTGAAACGTCCGACGTTGACATTATATTAACATTAAAACAGCATAATTGCATATTAGGATTTTTGTTTGTTTTTTCCGTATATTTTTCTTCATACTGTCGGATCTATATCCATATATTTGCTTATATATATATAAAATATAACTGCAAAAAGGCAATTTGAATAAAGACTAAAAGAAAAAAATTATTTACCAACACATTTCGCTCTCTGATGGTCTTTATCAAGGTAAACGCAAGGATCTTATTTTGCAACATGGATTTATAAACAAAAGTTAAAATATTGTTAGGTTTTCAAAGTTTTTTGTGAATACTGTGAAAGTAAAGGTAAACTATAAATACACACACACACACACACACACACACACACACACACACACATATATATATATATATATATATATATATATATATATATATATATATATAAGAAAAATGAAAATTCTTTGTTTCATCAAAAAGTTTCCTGGTTTCGGGCAGAGTTTGAACATAAATTGTGCAATGCCTTTTGAGTATTTTGGGGTTTTATATTAAGGAACAGAAAACTTTCTTAGAAACAAAGAAAAGAGTACTGAACTGTTAGTTAATATCAGTCCCCGTATATGGCAGTGACTACTGGAAAATCCCGCACAGATAAAAAAAAAAAAAAAAAGAGACGTGAAACAAAAGAAATATAGTTCTACAGAAGGATGCTGAGAATACCATGAACATGTAAGCACCGACGTCGTTTTCGAGAAAAAGAAAACAAAAAAGACACTTATACTTAACATCAGTAAGAAACAGTTGAAATTTCTAGGGCACATAATAAGGAAAGGGGGCTTGCAAAATTTGATACCCACAGGACAGGTTGAAGACAAGAGGAATAGAAGAAAACAACGCATATCCTACCTAGCGAGCTGGGGTAAAGAGATGGCGGATCAAAGTTTAGGCGAGATAACAAAACGGCAACATTTATTAAGAGCTACAAAAGACAGGAAATTGTGGAGAACCATGATCGCCAACGTTCTGGATGGATACTGTACGTAGAAGAAGAAGAAACCATTTTTCAAACAAGTTTTTGTGGCTTATTACGTTAGTGATTACAGGTAAGCATTGTGTTTCTTAGTTTCCGAACATCGCATCTTCCCACTTGTCATCAATAACATTTTATTTAATTTGGGGAATAAACATATCAGATATGATTCACAACTGAAAATGACAAGACATCGTAAACTGACACGTAAAGACGTGATGCTTGTAAAACCCAACATGACAAACACTTCATATTTATAGACAAAACTTCATTAACCCACAAAAGTTCTTTAATAATGGTTAATGAAACTGAAAAGCATTGTTCAAAGCCTGCCTGGAAACTAGAAAAAGGATTTAATGACAAAATTAACTGAAAAAAAATCCTATCGATAAAATAAGTCTGAAGAAGTCTTTTCAAAGGACAAAACGCGTAGCACAGAACTTTTCCTTTTGTCATTAAACTATCCAATTATCTACTATTAGACAGATATACAAATTTTTATATCATACATACATATATGTATGTGTGTGTATGTGTGTGTATGTGTGTGTATGTGTGTGCGTGTTGGAATTACTGCTAATAAGCTTACACTTCCCAACTGTGATGAAAATGTCAATTCTCCACACAACACATGCGACTGATTCAAAGCAACAGATAAAGTGACGTACAAGATAGAAAAACATGAGAAAGAGAGAAATGAAAAAGAGAGAGGAAGAGAGAAATGAAAAAGAGAGAGGAAGAGAGAAGAAGAAGAAGAGAGAAAGTGAGAGAGATAATATCAATTTTGAAATTTCAAAAAACAGCTACAGCCTACGTTGTGTTCAATATTATCAATTATCGATATGGTGTAATAGTGTTGTCTATAAATTACTCAAATCAATAGTTGAATGTGACAACATATATATATATATATATATATATATATATATATATATATATATATATAATATATATATATATATATATATATGCGAAACACTCTCCATCTCATTTTAAATTTTGAAAATCATAGAACTGTGAAACAGGTTAAGTTACTCTAAATAAATATTCTTAAATAGATCCCAGGTGTATTTCAACTTTTTCCTATTTAATTTTACTCGTGTGGGATATATAAAAAATTACTTTCTTATGCATATATATATATATATATATATATATATATATATATATAGAGAGAGAGAGAGAGAGAGAGAGAGATTATTATAAGCTCGTAATTATCTTTGTTCTAATCTATGATTTACATTTTGGTGACGGAATGGTAAATATATAAGACGGTTTGACATGTTTCGATGATCAAACATCGTCATCAGAAAAATGGATCTTATTCCAACTAAATCTACCTTGGCTAGACAAAACGTGAATCATGTTAGTCACATGAAGGTTGGATTTTATTTTAACGTTTTTTTTTAAATCATATTTTACTAAAATTTAGTTTTTATTGATATATTTATTTGTTTTAACATTTTTGTATTCCACATTGTTTCAACACCAGTTTGATAAGAATGGGTGATAGCCTGAAGATGGCTGGTCGTCTCTTAATCTCAAGGGGTTCCTAGATCATGGCACTTTCAATATATCTTCGTCTCCGGGAATTATCTTCATTAAAAAGATAAAATGCCAAAATGTTGATCATAAAAGTCCCTTTTATCTAGATTTCGTGATGTTGCATGGATATATTTCATGTGGTGGACATTGTTTACATCCTATTTTGATAGAGTCCTGCTTCTCATTTAAAGTGACTCGCTTGTTTTACTTTGATCAAATTCTTAATTATTTTAAAGTGTTTGTGATAATTGTTATTATCTATCTTTTCAATTTTAGATAGTCATGCGCAATAATACTGAAATACAGCAACGTTGAAGCTTTTTTCAAATTTTGTCGAAAGAAAGAATATGTTTTTTAAAAAAGTAAGGAATATTCACTTACCAGTTTTGATGAAAAGGAACAAAAAGATAACACAACGCATTTTGCTTCTTTTTTTCTGACGGCCAGTACGAAGCCACAGATAAAGTGTGAGCCCACATATTACAAAACGCAGCCACAATCACGTGACATCCAATATCGCCAATTATCGATGTTGGGTGATGGTGTATATAGCTTAATTACTAATATAATAGGAATTTATAATCCCCAAAACAAATCATTTTTCATCGATTTTATGATTTTTGTTGGTTTCATTTTACCGCCTGTATTTAATCAAACGGCCGAGTTATGGTTCCAGAACATTGACAATAGCGTCCGCTTAATAACTAATAATGACCGAACAGGGAAATCGGCCATTTTGTCATTCTTCTTCTCCTATATACCGTGTCATGGCTCTTCACGACTTCCTATCCTTTGTAGGTCTCAGCAATGTTTGTCTTTTACTATCTCTCTCACTTCCTGTTCTGACACAAGTTCGTGAGATAGGTTACTCAATCTTTTCTCTTGTTCCTTTTGCTTTCGATATATCCTGTGAGTATCAAATTCTCCAAGCCCTCCTTCCTCATTATGTGTCGTAGAAATTTCGACCGTCTCTTTCTGATTTTAAGTAGGTGTGCTTTTTGTATCCATTTTCCTTAAAATTTCCTCGTTGCTTTCACGCTCCGTCCATGGTATTCTCAGCATCCTTCTGTAGAATCATATTTCTGTTGCCTGAATTCTCCTCTTTATCCGTGAAGAACTTATTTAGCATTCACTACCATATAGGAAGATTGATATTACATAGCACTTTAGAACTCTTTTCTTTGTTTCTAACAAAAATTTCCTATTACTTAATATTTCGCTTAGTTTTTGGAAGGCATCTTTCTCTATCCCAGTGCACCTTCGGATTTCGGTATCATATTTTCCATCTTATGTTAAAATACATCCCAGATATTACGTTTTTGATTTTGAAACTCCCAATTATTAGATTGCATCTTGTTTTTTTCTCTCGTGGGCTACCATGCATTCTGTCTTTTTTTTTTTCAATTGATAGTTATTCTTTTCTTCCCGCTTTCCTTCACTACTTTTACTAAGAGGTCTTATAGTTTTCTTTCTGTGTCTGTCATCAACACAATGTCATCTACATATTTTATTTTGTTAAAATTGTGCCAACGCCTAGTAGAGTCTTCAACTCCCTGAGGGTAACCTTGCTGTGAAAGTTGTATAAATCCGGTGAGAAGACTTACGATTGTCTCTAGCCCCCCTTTTCTATTTTTGTATACCTACACAATTCATTTTCTATCCGTATGCAGGCAGTTTGCTCCTAATACAAGATCTAGATTATTCTAACAATCTTCTCATATAAATCTAGTTTTCCTAGTGCTTCAAATAGATCTTTGTGGCATGCATTATCAAATTCATACTCTATGAAACATATGTGTACATCCTTCTGCATTTACATTGCTTTCTCTGATATCATTCTGATCAAAGATATAGCAGTTTTGTTCTAGTGTTGTTGACACAAACACATTGTCATTTTCCTATGTTCAGTCTATATATAGAATTCACTAGAATTCGGATTATTAGCTTGATTAAGTGGCTCATTAAGATGATTGTCTAATGGGGTTCACATTCATTTATACCTTTCTTTTTAGGTAGTGTTTTGAAGATGAATTTACTAAGGTTATCCAGTATTTCGCCACTGTCGTATATTTCATTTATTTTCTCTATGATATTGTCGATGGCAAAATCGCTTACGGCTGAGAGCATTTCTATTATGATCCTTTCTGATATTGCGGCTTTGTTTCTTTTCAATTTGTCCAGGGCCGATCTTAATTTAGACTAATATTTCCTGTCTTTACATATTTGGGTGTTTCTCTTCGTCGTCTTGAAGTAGTTCTCCAACGCATTTTCGCCATCTTTGAAGTATTTTTTTTCTATTACGAGTGTTATCTCTTTTGATTTTATACAATATATTAATAGACAGATCTTTTTTTCCCTCTAATACTTTTCTGCATATTTACCGTATTCATGATTCTCATTCCTTCTGTTCCCGCGCACTTTTCCTCTTTAGTCTGTCTGTCAGAAAAAAAAGAAAACAATAGAACCCATGGTCTATTATTTCCAATTCGTCATGATTGATATCAAATCGATATCAGCGTTTCATATTATTTTCTTCGATGCACAAATAATCAAGTAACAAAACTAATCGCCATAATGTGAAAAGCATTCATGTGCGACATTAATTTTTCCAGTTCATTATCGATTGGAATCTAATCCCTGAAACAGAAGTCAAAATTGCATATTTATTCTCAATGTGCACAATATATATATATATATATATATATATATATATATATATATATATATATATATATGCACAGATACAAATCAAAATTACACATTGATTCTTAGTTTCATGTCTGAAGTTAGCCTGAGGTATTGATTTCTATGCCTATATTCTGTATATCCATAAACGTCCTATTTACAATACTACATATTGACTCATAAATGTATTAATTTTTAAACGACACACACACACACACACACACACACACACACACACACACACACACACACACACACACACACACACACATATATATATATATATATATATATATAATGTGTGTGTTTAGGTAGCATACCTTCATTCAAACATGTTTCGTTGAATAATATAAAAATATTGTCTTATTTCTACAGTGATCTTTTCCAGTTGTCAAATCAGTTTGTTGAGATGAAAATCATCCACGAAGGACCCGTCGTTATTTTTTAACCCAAGTACTTTCGATCTTTTCCAATATCATCTTCGGGTGTAAATTGCAAAGACAAACTTATAAAATCTGCATTCCCTTGTGATGGAGATTTTTAAAATCACGCACGAACGCGCTCTGTTATACTTATTTTAGAATCTTTTATTTTAGAATCTTTTATTTTAGAATCTTTTAATTTATCTGTTATAATTATGGAATTCTTTGCAAAACAAGCGTCTCAAAATAAGAGAGCTGACCGGAAATTTGTAGAGATGTAAAAAGATATTAAATGCTATATGCACTTGAATATGTTGTTGCTATATTCGTAATTAATTGTGTTGGGTGTTGGTTAGTTGCTTTTGATATAGAAAACCTCAAGACTTTGAAGTTTTTGTCTATTATTTTCATGGTGTAGTATATTGGTGATGTCAAATATTTTCCTGTATTTTGAAAGTGGGCAGGAATCTGTTTTTAGATGTTGTGCAATAGAACTTGTATCAGACAAATAAAGTGTAAGACGTCTTGTCAAGCCAACATATATACTTACATTTTTTGTCAAAGATACAATCTTCAAAAGGACATTTAAACTGATATACAATGTTGTTTTTTTTTTGTTGTTGTTGTTTTTTGTTTTTTTCCCGAAACACTAGTTGAAAGAGAAGAGTTTATTGCTTGTGATTAAATTGATTGTGTTAAATTTAGTATAATATATAATTAGTTTTATTTTTTTACTGGGATTATATATATATCTGTGTATGTGTGCACGTGTATGAATATGCAAAAATGAGAGAAAGCAGTATACAGGATGGTTTCACTCTCTCCCACTTGTAAAAACTCGTTTTAACGTAATAGGTAAAATAGTAGTGTAGCTACAACAATGAAGCCGTTGGCGCCATTGAATACGGATATTTTTAACACAGCTTGACTGCTGAATAATTGTTGGACCAAAAGATTGCGCAATCTATATCTGATATAACAATAGCTTTTGGTTTTTATCGTATAGCAACAAAGGTTTTTCCCAGGGATAGGTGAATTCTGAAAGGATATCAGCGATACTACGTGAAAAGCGTATTTTTCACACAGTTGATGCAACAACTGGCGATGACAGTAACCTGCCACCAATGGAAAATATTGCATTAAATCTCATTCAAGTTCAACATAACGATTCTGAACACATCAATCAACGCACTGTACAATGCCCTCCACATCTGCATGGAGTTTCGCAAATGTTGGTCAATAAGTAATGACACTCTAGCGTTGATTACTGTGCCTCAACTTTGCCAGCGATCATCGCCAGTGGACTGTGAAAAACTATCACTATGTTACCTAATTAGCCGAAATTCATTTCCAGCTTTTTATCGTCTTCAAAGGTAGAGGAAACTGTAGTTTTTTAATCATTTCATCCCAAGCAAGACAATAGATCTACTAAGACTTAAGAGTGTTACTACATGTGAGAGAATATGAGAAAAAGAAAATATTATTAAAAGACAACAATAAAAGAACAAGAATTATGAAAAGCAGTAGATAACGATTGACATTGCATTTAGCTTTTTGAAGATCAAAGTTGGCTGGGAAGCAAGAAGTCGGAACAGAGTTCCACAAATGTGAAGTTCGAGAGAAGAAACTGTTAGCATAGAACTTACGGTAACAACTAACTATTTCAGCTGTAAAATGATGAGACGTTGCCGCCAATCTAGTACTGCGCTTACATCTATAAAGTCTAGGTACAATCAGAACAATTACCATCGAATTATTTATAGAAAAAAAGCACATGGAAGCTACGTTACGACGGTGGGAAGTTACAGAAGCAGAGATGCCAGGTCAAGACAAATAACATTGCAGATTATTCTTTGTATTTTATCAATAATCTCTATATACAGCAATATTCAATGCACGGTCTAATGTTAGCCTTATAAATGTGAATGATTCTGTGGAGAAAAATTGTCTGACACGACAGAGTGAACCGACTTTCTTATAATGTGTTCATATACAAACTGTTGGTGACTCTCTAACTTTATAAGTGAGTGTCCTGTTTAACTTCGCAAGATCTGCTAGTGAAAGTTGAAAATCTCAATGCAGGTTTGATGTACAGAATTCTTCTTGCAGATAAGATGCATCTCTTTATACATACCATGTTCCCCAGTGGCGAGTTGTTCACGCTTGATGATTCCGACACCAATTTTGACATTAAACCGGTTCTAGTAAAACTCGTCTGATATTCTAGTACTCCAGTGGCCCCCACGCAAGCCAAATTTAAACCGTATTGGACAAAGATGGGATATATTTCAAATCCAACAAAATCCTATGCAGC